ACATTGCTTGGGCTTGTGCTTATTTGAGGATGGATAAACGGGTTGTGGTTCTCACCCACGGCCAACATGCAGATCGAGAGCCAGAAGAGATCAGTCTCCTTCAGGAGCTCAAAAGCCGGAGCTATTCAAACTTCTTCAGTGAGTGATGAGGCACTTTGAAGAATGAAATATGGTGATGTGTTACAGCAAGTTCAACTGCACTGTAAAAATAAAATAAATTAAATAAATAAATAAACACATTTTTATTCTAATTATATAACATTTTAAGCATAAATATTAAATATAATCTTACTTTTTTAAAGTAATTTAAAGTAAAAAACAAAAACTATATATGGATATTATTTATTATTAAATATATATATATAATTATCTAAATATAGGTTCTTTCATTTTATTTTCGGCTTAGTTCCTTTATTAATCAGGGGTCGCCACAGCGGAATGAACCGCCAACTTATCCAGCATATGTTTCACGCAGCGGATGCCCTTCCAGCTGCAACCTATCACTGGGAAACACCCATACACACATATACAATTGACTATTCAGTTTACCCAACTCACCTATAGCGCATGTGTTGGGACTGTGGGGGAAACCGGAGCACCTGAAGGAAACCCACACCAATATGGGGAGAACTCCTCACAGAAATGCCAACTGACCCAGCCAAGGCTTGAAATAGCTACCCACTGCGCCACCGTGCAACCATAAATATACATATATATAATATTTTACTTCATTTACAAAAATATTGACATTAAAAATAAAATAATAATAATAATAATAATAAAATAAAGGTCTAAAGAAAATGACTGTAATCAGACTTTTTTTTAATAATAAATTAATTCACAAAAAATGACAAATAAATAAAATACTACAAACATTTACTGAATAAATCTTTGCAGAAAAACTTATAATAACAATAAAAAAATTATATTTACAATAAATAATATGTATATTCAATTTGTATTTATTTAAAATATATCGTTTATAAAAAAATAGACAAAGATAAACTAATCGGTAGATAAAAATTTACAAAATATTGCTGTAATCAGATTTACCATAAAAATTAATAAATAAAATTTTTTTGTCCTTTTCCTCATAACAATATACAAATATTGATTCAATTCTTTGCAAAAAACTGATTATAAAATTAATAAAATGTTTTCATATACAAATAAAATAATATGAATATCCACCCAACAAAGCATTGTAGAAAGATTTTTTTTTAAATGTTCCAACATTAAAAAAAAACAATAAATTGTTGTTATTATATATTGAATAAATTCCATATTGGCGAAGTGGTGGCGCAGTAGATAGTGCTGCAGCTTCACAGCAAGAAGGTCACTGGTTTGAGCCTCGGCTGGGTCAGTTGGCATTTCTATGTGGAGTTTGCATGTTCTCCCTGTGTTCCCGTGGGTTTCCTCCGGGTGCTCCGGTTTCCCCCACAAGTCCAAAGACATGCGGTACAGGTGAATTGGGTAGGCTAAATTGTCCGTAGTGTATGAGTGTGAATGAGAGTGTGTGGATGTTTCCCAGAGATGGAAACATATGCTGGAGAAGTTGGCGGTTTATTCCGCGGTGGCGACCCCAGATTAATAAAGAGACTATGCCGAAAAGAAAACGAATGAATGAATAATTCCATATTTACTGGACAAAACTCTGGAAAAACACTTTAAAATAATGAAAAAGCGTATTTAAGAAAACAAATTAAATTATAATTATGGTGGTTATATTTTGTAGATATTTATAAGACATAAACCTTAAAACATAAATCTTTAAATAATATATACAGTTGAAGTCAGAATTATTAGCCCCTTTCAAATTTTTTTTTTCTTTTTAAAATATTTTCCAAATGATGTTTAACAGAGCAAGGAAATTTTCACAGTATGTCTGATAATATTTTTTCTACTGGAGAAAGTCTTATTTGTTTTATTTCGGCTAGAATAAAAGCAGTTTTTAATTTTTAAAAACTACAAAACTATTAGCCCCTTTAAGTTATATTTTTTCTCGATAATCTACAGAACAAACCATCATTATACAATAACTTGCCTAATTACCCTATCCTGCCTAGTTAACCTAATTAACCTAGTTAAGCCTTTAAATGTCACTTTAAGCTGTATAGAAGTGTCTTGAAAAATATCTAATAAAATATTGTTTACTGTCATCATGGCAAAGATAAAATAAATCAGTTATTAGAGATGAGTTATTAAAACTATTATGATCAGAAATGTGTTGAAAAGAATCTTCTCTCCGTTAAACAGAAATTGGGGGAAAAATAAACAGCAGGACTAATAAATCAGACTTCAACTATATATATATATATATATATATATATATATATATATATATATATATATATATATATATATATATATATATATATATATATATATATATATATATATATATATATATATATATATATATATATATATATATATATATATATATATATATATATATATATATATATATATATATATATATATATATATATATATATATATATATATATATATATATATATATATATATATATATATATATATATATATATATATATATATATATATATATATATATATATATAT